GTGGCCACCATTGCTATAACAGCAACAGCGGCAGCAGCAATGTCAAATTCTCTTCTGGATTGTGTGGACATCCACTGGCATGGATACAACTCCAGTAACATGAACCACCAAGGCCCATTTTTCTTGATCCCAACACGACTTTGACTGGCAGCTCTTCTGGAGAATCCAATCTCATGACTACAGTTCCTAGGCTTACATTAATGCTTGCCAAAGCTGGCGATATTGGGCTCTCAATCTCCATTGGCATCAGAAGGGTAGATTTTTTTCATGAAGACCCATTAGGTCTCTGTCATGTTGGGGTTCAGCAGCAGTCACAGGGCGCATTCAGTGCTCAGGAATCCAAAGAGGAACCTCATTGTCCTGAGAAAAGACATAAACAGAACCCCGGGGCCATACCTACACTAGATCAGGTCTCCTCCATGTGCTAGTAGAAAGATCCTTCCATCACTCCAGAGGGTGATTTGCAACAGGAGCCCTCCAGTGCTTAACTGCATCGGATCCTGCAGCAGAATCCACTGATAAATTCCATCAGAATCCACCAATAAAAAATTTAAAATATATAAAATAAGGGAAAGAATAGAATATGGAGAGGAATGATGAGTCCCTAGTTCTCCCTTTTTCTACTTTAGTAAAATGTTGTTTGTTTGTTTGTTTAATATTTCAAATTTTTCTTTTATTTTTATTTATTGTTTAAAATTAATTAATTTATTTTCTATTATCAGCTTGATACAGTATGTATTCTTATTTTAATAGTGAGATGTTTCATTGAGGCTTGCTCAGTAATTGAGTAAAACTGAAATTTATTATAAGCTACAGTCATCCTAGGGACCTCCATGCTATATATATAGCCTCCATGGTTCTGTGGGTTGTAGTCTGATTGTTCTTTATTTTATATCTAGAATCCACTTATGAGTGAGTACATATCATGTTTGTCTTTTTGGGTTTGGGTTACCTCACTCAGGATGATTTTTTTCTAGTTCCATCCATTTGCCGCAAATTTCATGCTTTCATTGTTTTTCTCTGCTGAGTAGTACTCCATTGTGTATATGTACCACATTTTCTTCATTTTTTTATTACAACAGAACTGTCTCCCTAACTTCTCATTCTCGTTTCTATAGATGTTTATCTAGTACTGCTCAGTGGTGGTTGGTCTTTCTACCCATAAAGCAGATGAAAGCACCTGCCCTTGGTTGTATATTATCTACCAGAGAGACAGACAAAAGCCATAGTAACAAATCAATAAGTAACATAGTCGTTTACAAAGTTAAATGCCAAGGAAAAACACAAGAGCAGAGGAAGTGAGTGGGAGGAATCAGAGTGCAGGGACTGAACAAACTGAGCTGGTCTAAGAAGGTAGTTTCGCAGCACAGCCCAGACAGTGTAAAGCCCTGGGTTTGGTTTCCAGAATTGCAAAAAAGAGGATCTATATGAAGCAACATTGGGATTTGGTGAGAAGCCAAGACCAGCAGGCTAAATCCAGTGACCCTGAGACTTGTGGGAGGGGCCATCAATGCAGATCCCAGGATCTTGAGGGCCCTGGAGGATTTGAGTTTAGACTTTTAGTAGCTGGGTTTTGTTCAGAGAAATAACATGTTTTGATTTAAATTATGAAAGAGGGCCTGGGGATGTGCTTACGTCCTGATTTTAAGCCCCAGCACAGTTGAATAAAACTGGATATGGTGGCACCTGCCAGAAATTCCCGCACATGGGAAGGTAAAAACAGGATCAGAAGTTCGAGGTCCTGCTCCACTACATAGCTAGTTCTCGCCTGTGTGAGATGCATGGGACACATGAGATCCAGTCTAAGAGGGCATGGAGCAGCGTCCCCTTGCAGATTTCTTACGGTACCTTCTTACCATTTCCTTTCAGAAACTCGCAAAGCTTTTCTCTAGCTCTGGAGCCCAGTGACCAAGAGCCCAGGTGACTGACCTCTCCATTTCCCTGGGGTAGAGAGGCCTGTCTTTGCCCTCAGGGCTCTTTCTAGCAGTGTGCCTCATGGGGCTTGATTTCCAGGGTTGGTGTTGATGGAGCACATTTTAGGAATTTTTGAAATGCATTTGACTTCAGTTATGAGTTATATAAGACTATTTTACCCCTCATAAAACAACCAACCCCTACTCTGTAAAAAGAAACCAAGTAGTTGGGCTAAACAATTGCATGTGTAATCTTCCATATAGTCCACTTCCCAGAGGTTCAAACACATTTTAAAAATGAACCACACTGTAGACAGTATCCCATGCTTTTGCCTTTTCACTTTATCTGCCCTAGATGTTTCCCCTCCTCTAGACCATCGAGGTCATCATTCTTTGTGACAGGAATAATGTTCCCCAGCTGAGTGACATCCAGGTGGTTTCCAGAAACTTCCACAACAGACTTGCTCTGCAAGGAACTGTGTCACCACTTGGGCCACTGAAAAGTAAAAACAAAATGCAGCCTGTCTGAAGATGCTCCTGCACCCTTATCGCAGGGTCCGAGCCTGGATTGTGGTCCAGTGCAGCCAGCAGGGGGTGCACCAGGCAGGACCCAAGATACAAGACAGGTGGATGCGGGCACAGGTGGTGCCCAGTGTGGCAGAACTGACCCTCAGTGTTCCAGAAACCTGACCCCAGCGACTGGGTCAGGTGGGTGGATTTGGTGTCAATTGGCCTCCTGCCCCACTGACCTAGCACTGCCAGGAAGCACCCCTCCCCCACAGAGAGCCTCTGCAGCACTAGCTGGAGTCATTCCTCCTAGTCTTTTACCCTTAGGTTCACCACCACTTTCAAAGGACCGGAACCCTGGACCTTCGACAGCTGGCCCATTCCGCTGCTCTTACCAGGGTGCTCTCTGCCCTCTATCCCCTATGGTAGGAATCTGGGGACACAGAGAGGCTGGATGCTGTTATGTCCTTTCTGCCTTTGGTTCTCCAGTGCCCTGCTTTACTTTGATGGCTGTGATCAAATGCTGACCAAAACCAACTTGAGAGAGGAGAAGGTTTATTTCATTTTACAGCTTACACTCTATCACCAAGGGAAGCCAAGGCAGGGACTGAAGCAGAGATCTGTCAGGAAGGCTGTTATGGTGATTTGCTTCCTTGGCCTTTCTTAGATCAGGCCCATCTGCCTAGGAATGGCACAGTAGGCTGGGCCCTCCCACAGCAATCAGCTCTCAAAAAAATGCACCTACATACATACCCACAGCCTTGTCTGATGGAGACAGTTCCTCAGCTGAGCTTTCCTATTTCCAGGAGACTCCAGCTTGTGTCGAGGTGACAAAAAAAAAAAAAAAAAAAAAAAAAAAAACAAAAAACAAAAAACAAAAAAACAGCGCACACGATGAGAAAGACAAACAATAGCCACATCAGAGGCAGGGCTAGGCTGGGGAAGATGGCTTCCAGGCACTCAGGGGAGGAAGGAAGAGTAGGAAGGAGCCTGGTCAAGGCCACTGTTTGTCCCAGTAGGAGTTCCTGTGTGGAGGCTTTCAGCTCTGAGTCACACTGGGACAAAGGGACTGGTGTGAGAGGAGGCTGCCTTTTTGACCCTGTGGGCTTAGCTGGTGAGAATCTGCTGTGTCCTACTTACTTCCTTTCGATCTTGCAGAGGGAGACTGATTTCACACTCCCTAGTCCCTTCTATCACTCTTGGTTGCCGGATCTACCTTCAATCCTCAGGAAAGGGGTGACAGAAATGCCACCAACCCAACCTGTTTACAGGGCCAAATCCCACTTGTCTGCCTGTTTTCCCCGATAGGGTTGCAGCTTTGAACTGCCAACAGGATGTCAACTTTGAACTCTGGTTGCAGTGCTGGTGCAGCCAGCACTGGCTGGATAGCTCTAGGTGTGCACTCCCTTCCCCAACTCTTCCTGTGAGTAGTTCTGCAAGCACCTTTAGAGGGGAGCCTCTGGTCTCAGCAACAGCAGCTCCTACCCACCCTCTGAGCCAAACAGAGGTGGCTCCCTCAAAGCAGAAGCCAGGACACAAAAAAGGCAGTTTTGCTTTGTGGTAATAAGGACATGACAACAAAGATATCAACAACCACAACCACCAAACGGCCTGTCTCTAAGCACATGCAGAAAGCTTAAGAGTTTGCTCTAGAGAAAGCAGAAATTATGTCAGCTTTTTTGAACTTTGGGATAACAATCCCTACTATGCCTCTACTGATTCCATTTTGTTCTCTTCCTTGAATCCAAAACAGATAGGAGGGAAGATTTTTTTTTCCTCCGCAAGGCACTTTAAAAAGTAATACCTCAGTCTTCCAGGTACCCTGACATGAGGAAGGCTGTCCATGGTGAAGCAGATGCAGTGTGGAGTTAGGGATCCCAGAAGCTTCTGAATGCTTCATATGTCTCTGTTTGACATTGGCTCAAAGGGATGGAATTAGTAGACAAAGCTACTTCTTCCCCACCCCCTCTTATCTGCAGGGGAGGGATCAGTTCTCAGCTGGCCAGGCCAGTGTCACTGATACAGCTGGTGTCATTGTTACCTTCCACTGACAGATCACTCGACACCTACCGACCCAGGCAGGGTTGGGTCTGAGTAGAGGTATGGACGCTTATTGTCCCAAAACCCTAGATGAAGCCATGATGCAAGGCACTGCAGAAATGCAATGATCATTAAGCAACCGAAGGCTAGATTGCTTCCTGCCTCTCATTCCTCTCACAGCTCCTTGGTTGTTGCTGCTTGGCTCCACATTTCTGTCCTGGCAGGTAGGAGTTCATCGCTGGCTGGGAGCTGAGACAGAACCAAGATGCTATACAAGGAAAGGACGCCTGGAGTGGCCCCAAAGTGAGGACCCAGGGCAGAAGATTGGCTCCAGGCATTGGCCTGGACTAGGGATCTGCCTAGCCTTGCAGTCCTGACTGGCTGCACTCTGGTGTGTCCCCTACAACATCATGCTGCAGCAGATCCTGCACGACATGTACATCGACCCTGAGCTTCTGGCTGAGCTCAGTGATGTACAAAAGCACATCCTCTTCTACAAGATGAGAGAGGAGCAGCTTCGGCGCTGGAGGGAGCGGGAGGCATGGGACACCCTGGCCCAGGCAGAAGGCCTCAGGCCTGCGAAGGTCAAGCGAGGTATGTGGCTTTTTGTCACCAATCCTCCAGCCGGTGAAAAAGTTAATGAGTCAAGATTGAGTCCTTTTTTTAAGGCCACTAGTATTATAAAAGGCTGGGGATTTGAGCTGGGGGCTCTGGTCCCACTAGCATGGAATTCTATCTTCCAACCAGGATTATAGATAAAGAATGTGGCCAGGACTATGCAGGACCCAGATGGGCTAGGGAAATGGGGACTGGCTTTGTCTTGTTGTATAAGGCTCACATTCTGAGAAGACACCACTGAAAGTGTGCTCAGATAGTTGGCAATTGCACGGTAGATAATAGAGAACAGTCTTTTTTTTTTTTTTTTCTGATTCTGGGAATTGAATCTAAGGCCTTTTCTTGCGAAGAAGGCACTCTACCACCAAGGTATATGCTCAGGCCAGGTGCATATTCTCCCTCTCACTACAGTTCTAGTCAGAGTACATCGAGGATATGTAGGTCCTTCCTCCCTGCCATGTAGACTCTGGTTCTCAGCTCAGGCATCATGCCTCTCCGAGCATGTCTTCATGTGAGAGGATGCTGTCTGTGGGTTGTGTTTGTGTTCATCATTTCCAAATGGCAATAACAACTTCTGGCAAGAAGCAAGAGCCCAACCTGTTTTTCAGGTGATTTATATTCAAAGTCATTTGTCAGTCAAAGCAATGGACTGATGCTGAATGACCTGCTTGTGACCTCTAGCTAGCATCAGACAGGCTATTGCTCCTTGCACAGGATTCGGCATCCTGCTGTGGAGAGTAGCTTTTGTGTATGTCGCACTCACTTTATGGTCAGTTTGAATGAATTAATAGTAAATTCGGAGTCACCAAAATGTGTTGGGGTTGCATGCGTTAAGGACAGAAATCAATAAAGCATTTTTCCTTGGTGCCCCTTGATCAAGGGTGAGTCCAGATTTTAGTGTGCTACTTCAATCTCACTGTCTTCCATCGTCTTCTGTCTGTTGTATGAGTCTGATTATGTGTCTTCTCAAAGGCTGTCTTGTGACTCTGTCTGTCCCTAACAAAGGGTTTACTCTCTCTTCTATTGAACAGTACAGAAAGCGTCACTTGGGGGAAGGAATGAGGGGTACTTTACAGAAATCTTTAACAAAGTTTTATGAGAGATTTAGCCACTGACCCCAACTGACCCCATCTGACCCAGATAACAAAGAGTACTACACGCATCATTGTTTAATCAAGCAATATTTGTATTTAACATATATGGTGGATATTCATTTTATAAGATTATTTTCAACCTAAATTTGCTGTTTTTGGCAAGTGATTATTATAACACATGTACCAAAGCATGGAAGTTGCCTTGCATGACACTTGGCTCCTAGCACTTGAGTCAATAGTATTCCTTAGGCTGATACTTGAGTCAACTGTATGCCCTATGATCCTTTTATTCAAAGTCTCAAAGGCTAAACATTGGTACAGTCCACTAAGGCCACATGGATTAAGATTATAGCTATGCATTAGTTTAGGTAAAAAAAGGTGATTACATGGGAAACCAAGGCAATTAATGTTGGTTGTTGCATTGTCTTCTTAAAGGCAGATTAAACAAACAGGCTGAATACACAGTAGGATAGCAATCTTAAGTCTTAATAATACCTCCAGGTGTATTATTAACTCTGGCTGTGAGGTCCAGCAAAAGTTCCAGTCTTTTAGAATGTAAGGGCTATTTTTATCATAATACATTGCCACAATTCTATACTTTGCAACACAAATACACTTGCTTTCTTTTCTGCTCCCATGACCCTCACTTGGCCTCCATCTATTCATCAAGTGAAGTGTAGCTTTGATCTGTTCAAAGTGTTCAATCCAGGCCAAGTCCTGTTCCAGGGCTGGACAGATAGGCCTGTTGGTGACCTAGCTTCTGTCTTCTAATCCATCCTCATTGTTGGTCTCCCCAGTGCATGCTATTGGCTTGGTGGTACCACCTAATCATATCCACTCTCATCCTGGTTTGTGCCTTTTTTCCTCACTGTTGACAGTGTCCTCCTGTTTTAGCTATCAGCACCTGCCCTGCTCCAGGAGTCTTGGGGGATGCCCCTGGTATAGGGAGGACTTGCCCCTCTGTAACTTCCTGGCACTAGGACCAACCCCAGTTGTAGCATGTGTCATCCTGGCATTGTTATTCATCATTCGCTTGTCTAGCTCTCCCAGTAGATTCCAAACTGCTGAAACTTGGACCTATACTTCACTGTATTTTCCTCCCTTGAGGCCTAGCATAGAACTGGGACAATGAATACCTGTTTTGAACAAGATATAGCAGGAACACCACCCACCCACCCTCCTCCACCCTCCCTGTAGGGTGGTTGTAACAGAGCTCTGACATGACTGTTGGGGACTGGTGCTAAGTCTGGGCTCCACGCTCTGGCTTTCCCATCACCAGATAGAGAAGTCTACAAGCTGAAGCTTTCCAGCCCCACTCAGCCTGATTCCTAAGGCCTCACATCTGTCTGGTAGCTCCTTTGAGAAAAAGACAGATGCCTAAAAATTTAACTGCACAAATATTTATGTGGAGATTTATCACATACTGACACCTACATTTTCATATATAAATTATACATTAAACTCATTTGGGTTTCTGGTGCAGAAGATTTTTTTCTGGGTAATTAAATTTGTGATTTATAAAGACTAGGAAAGAGGGGGAACTTGCTGAGGAATGTGTACCTCCTAGGTCAAAATCCTATATAGATTTTAGCCTGTGCTTCAGTGCTACCCCTGGTAACTGCTTGAGCCTGACTCTGGAGAAGTCTAGATGAGGGACTGACTGTGCCCCAGGAACCAAGGAACTTTTTGCTGGAGGGTTGAGAGTGCAGAGTGCCTGATTCCTGTCCTGAGATCATGATGAGGGGTCTTGAAGACCCTACACCCTGTGGGTCAACTTTGATCAGACCTATTTCAGGTGAGAGTGCTGAGCCTCACAGAACAGATGCAGGACAGCCAAGGGCACCCAGCTGCTGGGAAGTGGAGTCAAATATACATCCCATGACTTTGACCTACATTCTCATGACTGAACTTTTCCTATGCGATGCCTTCTGATCTTGGAATCCAATTAAATGAATAATCTGTCACTTGTTCTCTTGCCTAGCCACTCACCCATACCTTCACTTATCCTAAGGGCTGACATTGATGGACTGTGTAGCTTTAGCCTTCAATCCTTTGAATAGGAGGATCATAGGGTACACAGTTGACATAAGTGCCAGGAGCCAGGTGTCATGCAAGGCACCTGTGTGGTGGCTCAATGTAGGAACATCCTTCCCTTTTCCTCCCCTGCATACTTGCCTGTTGCTGGATTCTAATGGCTCCCTCTGGGGAGGGGCTGAGAAAGTGCAGCATCAACAGCACAGACACTGGGAGTCAGTTGAAGGCAAACAATAAACTCCTTTATTTAATAACGGGGAAGGCCTTATATACCCTCTTCCCAGCACCCAGTCTGTGTCACAATCTGGTGACATTTTGTGGTCATCCCTCATTGGCTGGGCTTGATCAGGAATTCTGACAGCACTTGTTGCTAGGCCCTCAGGCAGACTCCAGGTTGGCTCATAAGAAAGTACATTATATGTATGCCTTGGCAACTGGTCTGAGCCAATTTTCTTGACCCTATGGGCCTGTCCTACTACACTTGCCTTCCCTTCTCCTAATTGCTGTGCCCCTGTTGAGCTGTATGCTGGTATCTTGGCATCTATCTACAACTCTGCTCAGGCACGCTCATCCTGAAATGTCATCATGTTCCTTCTGGCCCTTATCTTCACCCTGTTTGTTGTTTGACCCTCTTCCTTTACTGGGAAAAATTTCCAGCTTATTGTAGGCCTGAGTTCACCACCTGAAAGCTCAGGTCACACTCTGATGGCATGTACAGTCAGGTTAGGGCAAAATGTCCTAGCCTCTCACTAGTTATATCTGAAGAGGTTGTGAGTAAACCCAGGATCATGAATCAGTCTAGTTTACAAACCTTGGTGACTGTCTCAACTCTGGGGCATATATTTGGCACCACAGAAACAACCTAGAATGACAGCTTGGACATCTATTATAAGTGGGGAAAGACAGGATTTTGGGATCAGGAATGGGCACACATCTCATTATGAAACACTTCTGCTTTCACTCTCTCCCTTGAAGCAATCTCCTGATCCAGTTGCAGCAGATGGAGACACCCAGCTTGAAAATCTGCTCATCTACTGTCACATGGACTGTTTATATTTCTGATCATTTGTTGTTCAATGGAAAGTTGTGTTGTCATCTTGAGACTCTGGGATAGTATGTCATAACTATGCTCCCACAAGATTTCATGCAGTCACTCCAACATTGTAGGATCTGTGCAGGCTCCCCTTCCTCTTCATTCCTTTTGATGACACCAAAACTTACACTTCAAGTTGGGACTTGCTCATGTGCACTTTCTTGGGGCTAGAGTTAAATTCTTAAAGTATTCAAGGGCAAGGAATAGCAGTATCTCAGTTCTTCTACTCTTAGGTTGTGTTGATGCTACTTTTTAGGGGGGAAAGTTAAGGCAGGGTTCTCTGTGTCACAGCCCAAGCTGTCCTGTAACTCACTTTGTAGACCACAAGATCCACCTGCCTCTGCCTCCCAAGGGCTGGGATTAAAGGCTAGTGACACCCTGCCTGGCTGTTGTTGCTATTTAAAAAATGTTTACAGCCTGGTAGATGGAACCAGGTCACTTGGATTTTATCACCTGGTGGTATAACCTTGGAAATTCACCTTAAAATGGGAGTATCAAAGTTTTTCTACCAGTAATGGGGGAGATTCAAAAAGTGTCTTCACTTAGAAACCTTCAGCCACCATGCAGGCACATAACATTTTCCTGGTGTGGTAGTATGGGAGTAGCACAACTCTGCTTGGCCTACCTTAGTTATTCTAGAGTCTGGGAGATAGAGGATAGTGCACCTTAGAGGATGGAGCCTTTTTCTGTGTCTTTCAAGCTAGCACTCCTAGTATTATTTGCAAGTTTATTTTTAATATGTAGGGTAAATGGGAAGA